GGAGGGAGGGAGGGAAGGAAGGAAGGAAGGAAGGAAGGAAGGAAGGAAGGAAGGAAGGAAGGAAGGAAGGAAGGAAGGAAGGAAGGCTGGCTGTCCTTTTGGTGTATATCCACAAAAGGAAAGTCATTTATCAGACTGCATCTTCTGCAAAATAACACTCTCTTTGTAAAGGCCTGCTAGCAGCTTTCAAAATGTTTTTACACAAGGGTCAAAAAAACATGATCTGCCTTAACAGAACAGCCTCCAAGGCTAAATCAACAACTGAATGACACCTGACTCCAAGCCTCCCAACTCACAATCCTGAAGATCTCTCTCTTCTCAAATGCTTAAACGTTGGAAGCCCTTCATAATATAAGATTGCACTTGTTAGAAATTATTGTTAGTGGAAACAGAGATTAAGTATAAAACATAAATATAAAATATCAAACAACACCTAGTTTCTCTAGAAAACCCAACTTAGCCGACAATGGTTTAGAGAGCCACCCCAACACTAACCTGTATATGTGGCTTCATCTGCTTCCAGGTCACAGCATGAACAACCCCTTGGTTGAGATAGTTGAATGCTTGCTGAAGAACACGGGGAGCTACATATTCTTTCTGTCTGTACTGGTCTAAAATTTTTAGTAGTACCTACAGGAAAATAGGTGGGGATTGGGAGGGATGAACATGTTAACAATTACTACGTTAAAAAGCAAAGGAGTTTGAGGCATGACATAAAATACTATAGTCAGTGATCTACACAAGCAGATTTGGGGGAGATATTGTGGGAAAAAGCTCATGCAGGCATTTTACTTTTTGTTTGGTTGGCTTGTTGGTTTTTCGAGACAGGGTTTCTCTGTGTAGCTTTGCACCTTTCCTGGATCTCGCTCTATAGACCAGGCTGGCCTCGAACTCACAAAGATCCGACTGCTTCTGCATCCCGAGTGCTGGGATTAAAGGCGTGCACCGCCACCACCGCCCGGTGCATTTTACTTTTTAGATAGGTTTGTGTGTTACACTGAGCTAAGAGATATGTCACTGAATTTTAGGCATTTGTTCTTCTAACCTATATGCTACTCAGAATAAGTCTATGCCCTAGTCCATGGCTAGTGTGCTGCTATGAATGAAAACCGCACCCTATAGGTTCATAGGTGTGGCACTATTAGGAGGTGTGGCCTTGCTGGAGTAGGTGTGGCCTTGATGGAGTAGGTGTGGCCTTGATGGAGGAATTGGTCACTGGGATGGGCTTTGAGGTCTCAGATGCTCAAGCCAGGCCCAGTGTTGCTCTCTTCCCACTGCCTGTCAATCCAGATGCAGAACCCTCAGCTCCCTCTCCAGCACCTTGTCGCTTCCTGCCATGATGATAATGGACTAAACCTCTGAACTGTAAACCAGCCCAATTAAATGTTTTCCTTTATAAGAGTTGCCATGGTCATGGTGTCTCTTCACAACAATAGAACTTTGATTAAGACAACTAGCTTCTCCTATTTTCAATAAAATTACAGATCTGGTGGAGTAAATAAACATTTCAAAACTTCTATATAATCACACAGCAGCACATGTTCACATAGAACCAGCAGCACCAAAGCTTAGACCTTAATCAGAAGATAAACATTATTCTAAAAATAGTGCTGATATTACCAATTATTCTTTGAAATAATTAAACTAGATCCCTAACTAACCTCCACACCAAAATGAGCTCCAGATAGGCAAATACTTTAACAGTTAAAAATCCTAAAGCATGGAGTTCCTAGAAGAAAATGTAGGGTATTTGTATTTTATAATCTCAGGCCCCCGACAATCTCTGTAACGTAACACACAGCTGACTTTTCTTATGGGCCAGTTGCAATCCTGCTTATAAGAAAGAACCCTGGAGAACAGCTGTGACTGGCTCAGGGGCCTTCAGAGAGAGCACGAGACTCCTGCCTCCCATTTCCTGGTCCCCATCACTTCATTGTGTCAAGCTTAAGTGAGTTGCTAAATCTTTCAGAACATGTATAAAATTTATAAATCAGAATATGAATTTTATACAACTTATCTAAAATCTAGGTTAATAAAATTGATCTGAAGTCCAATTACCATCTAGAAACTCCTGCAATGGCAGCTGAGAGGATGATATTGAGCAAGACTGTCCTAACATGGCTGGGGTTCAAACAAGTGTGGTGGCCATGTCAGAGGAGCAGCAGGTGGCAACCGACTCCAGGGCATCAGCCCACCAGGAAGCAAGGCACTGATGGGTGAGTCTTCATGGGCAAGACCCCGAGAGCCTCGGCCCCGATGTCTCCTCCACTGCTGTGTCTCTGCGTGTTTGCCGCTGTCGTCTTCCTCTGGTGTCTGGCACGGTGTGCGTGGGTGTGGGGAGATCCCCACTGCCCTTAACGCAGTGGGGTTATCTCATGGGAATATCCTGTTCTCCTGGGCATTGTGTTTTGTTTTTTGGGTTGTTTTGTTTTTTATTTTTATTTATTTTTTGTTTCTCAAGACAGGGTGTCTCTATGTAGCTTTGGAGCCTGTCCTAGAACTCGCTTTGTAGACCAGGCTGGCCTCGAACTCACAGAGATCCGCCTGCCTCTGCCTCCCCCGTGCTGGGATTAAAGGTGTATGCCACTGTAACACGAATCTTAAAAGGTCTTATTAATAAAAAAAAAAAAAAAAAAAACTTGGTGCCAGTTATTGGGGTGAATTCTGGAAGATCAGAGAAGCAGAACAAGCCACAGCTAACCTGACCTCACCAACTTCTCAGCCAATCCTGTTTCCTCAAACTGGAAGCCTCTGAGTCCTCATCCTAATGGATCTCAGCTGAACTGCTGCTAAAAGCCTATAAGCTTAAAAAGACTCCAGTTCCTGGTCCTCACACCTTATATACCTTTCTGCTTCCTGCCATCACTTCCTGGGATTAAAGGCATTAGTCACCATGCCTGGCTGTTTCCAGTGTGGCTTTGAACTCACAGAGATCTGAATCTCTGGAATGTTAGGATTAAAGGTGTGTGTGTCACCATTTTCTGGCCTCTATGTCTATCTAGTGGCTGTTCTGTTCTCTGACCCCAGATAAGCTCATTAGGGTGCACAATATATTGGGGAACACAATATCACCATATGTCACCACTGCTGGGCTCTCTCCTGGGCATTTTTCCTGTGGACTACTATGAAAATGATTTCCTCCTAAGCTGTACTGCTTAACCGAAGCAATGATTTATACAATAGTGTTAGTTTAAATAAGATTTTAATGATTGAGGGTCTTTAATAAATATAGTAAGGGATTATGATAGAGGTTAGTTTAGTGAGAAACCTAATATAGGTAAACGCAAGATACGGTATTTCCCCTGCCCCGATAAAGTAGGGCCTGCTGAGGATAGAAAATTAAAGCAAGTAAATGTCACACAGCTAGTTTTCCTTGAGGAGTCATATAGACTGTGGCTTAGGTTAATGATTAAGAAAAACAATTGAGTCCCAGAAGCCCAGCTAGCTCAAGTTCTTTTCAATCTCAATGTTGGGAGGTGTGGTCACAGGTTTCAGTATGCATCATAGCTAAAACAAAGCTTTAAATATAACAAGTTTAGATTAAGATGTTTTTGCTAATGGTTTTGAAGTTAAAAAAAATCTTGGAAAACAATTTAAAGACACTTTTAATAGCTGAGCAAGGCACTCATTGAGGTCAGGGAACAGGAACAATGATGGTCTGGCTATTGCTGGCTGACAGACCTTTCTTGCTAGGATGGGCTGGTGATCAAGCGTGATGATTAATTCCCTGTACACATTTCTGCCCTCAGCTTCCTGATATAAAAACTATTAATGAGTGGGTATGCACCCTGAGGATTTAAAGTAGAGCTGACTGATTGTTTATCATATATAAAAGTTTAGGTTTATGATTTCTTTAAGATTTTTTATAAGATCACCTTTTGAGACAAATAATAAAATATTTGGTCCTTTCTTTGAAACCACAAAATGCAGCCTGCCCACAAAAGAACTGGCTGATAAAAATACCTTGCTTGCTGACACTCTGTTAATCTATAACAAGTTACTTGGACATGAATGTATATGGGTTCTTGGGACAACTTGTTTTTCACCTGTAATATGAAATGTTTAATCATGTAAGGGAGATGAAAAACATACTGTTTTTAACTTGTATTCACTGTAATCATTCACTTGAAAAAGAGTATGTAACCACATTGCAATTTTTATATTGCTTGAAAGATTCTACTAGGGTATATAATCTGTAAGGAAAAAAAGACACAAGAGAAGGAAAACACCAGAAAAGATGTAGAAGGAAAACATCATCAAGGTAGAAAAACAGAACAAAAAGGGAATAGAGTAGAGAAATGACAGTAAGAACAATAAAATGAAGAACTAAGCTTTGGTCCTCAGAACAGTCTTTGTGTGTCTGTTTGTCCAGTAGTTCGCCTACTCTGCATCTCCTCTTCAGTTTCTCTGATTTAATAAAGGCTTGCCATTCATCAGCACCCCAGGTGAGATCCTGACATGCCGAAGGTGTGTGTGTGTGTGTGTGTGTGTGTGTGTGTTGCTCTTTTTCGCTGGTCCCAGAGAGTTAAGTTCTGCCCACCTTGCCAGTCCCAGAGAATTAAGTTTACTCCCTCAGATACAATAGTCTGCTGACCCTGTTGGATCCCTCTCAATCCCTGAGCTGCTGCAGGCTGGTCCTCACAGCAGCAATAGGGAAGATTCCAGACAGCAGCAGATGACAGTTTTGGCAAGGAAACTAATTTTAAATATCAAGATTATAAGTCTTTAGGTAACATTTCTGGCACAGACACATGGACATGGCATTTACTTTTTAATACAAGTTTATGCATGTATATATACATGCATGCTTTAACAACACTAGAAAATTCTAAACACAACTCAAGAGACATCAGCATTAAGACACTTCTTGGAGTTTAACAGCAGCAAAACAGAGCCAAAGATACAACCGATCCGTTTCTAGATTAGGCTGGTGTCTGCTCTGAATATCTGGACAGATAATTTCACTTATTATTTACTAATTTCCCCTATAGAGTATCTCATGGGTACCATATCAGAGTACTTTTCAGAAACCCTTTTACCTTACTTAAGTATTTAATTTCACATTACTGAGGGATTTATGAAAAATCTATAAACACCTTCTGTATCATTGAAGCCTTGAATTACGTCTGATTAAACAGTCCTGGCTTTCCTACGAAGGCCCTGACACAGCTAGTTATTAATTACTAACTCTCACTTCAAAAAAAAAAAAAAAAGTAGCAAACATATCATGATTCAGTTGGCAATATTTGACGGACCAATCAGAGTCCATTGTTCTTTGCAATTTTTAAAGTTTTTAAATATTAATAAAGTCTCATGGATTCCACATTTTCCTTATGTAGAATGGATACTCCAACTTGCATGTTCTTACCTGAAAGTCCTCTTTAATATCTAAGCTAGACTAGTCTTGAAATAGATTTATTCATAGTGTATAAATCTTCAAACAAACAAGGGAAAACTCAAAGAAATAAGAAACCTATAGGAAGACAGCGAGGTCTGCGTCATCATTTGAGGCCCTTCCACGTCTAGCAGTCATGAAGGCATTTCTGGTGGAAGCAGATGGCGGACACTGGATTCTCAAGCCAGCTGCCCTTGGACCAGACTCCCACAGCTGCTATTTCATCCTCTTTAAGTGTGCAGTGAAGTACCATATAAGCAATCTACTTTAAAACAGATAGAAATAGCACTCAGTAATAACTACTCTTCTATTTTAAAAGCATAAGTTTAATACCTGCTGAATTCCCACTGCATAGGTTTTCAAAAAAAATTCAGAAAATTCGAAGTATTCTTTTGTGACATTTCCTGGGCTTCCATACCTTAAAATTCAAAGAAGAAACTCTAATTACTGTGAAGTTTAAAAACAAAGCATCCTTGCTAGTTTAAAGACAGATATTAGAAGGTATGTTCTACTGGGCCAGAAAACTAACACGTTCTCTTTTTCCACAAGACACAATATGAATCAGGAGGAACTCAAAGACTCTACAGCACAGCTAACATTTGGACAGAAACTTCTAACTTCTAAACCAATTAAGTCCTAAAAGGAATAAAAATGTTATACCTGGCATGCTTTACAATAAACGCTTTTAAAAGTAAATTTGACTTTCTTATGGAGCCAAGTATCCATGTGTTCCTTCTTACATAATTTATGGGTATTTCCAATGGGAAAAAAATGAGAAGCTTTACATGTTTTGCACAGAGTAGAAAAGAGCCAGAGAAGGCTACCCACGTTGTTATGATTTCTAGGGCAGTGGGCACAAGCCTGCCCTCTGTGGTTTTTTGGCCTGGTTTGGTTTGGTTTTCGGCTGTATGAGATAGGGTCTCCTATAGCTCAGGCTGGCCTCACACTCACTATGTAGCTGAGAATGGGTTTGAACCCGTGATCCTCCTCCCTCCACTTCCCTAAGCTTAAACAGAAGCATACGTCACTATGCCCAGCTACTCTATGAAGCTTTATTCTGTACAACACCAGGGAGCCACTCAACTCCAGCACACCCAATGCCAAGACACCCACTGCAACATCGTTACTATAGCAAGTGGAGTAATACCGCTCAAAGAGACGAGCGACGATGTGCAGAGCCCACTTCTTACACTTCCACCACACCAGCTCTGGCCGGTCATCCTCATCAATTTGAAGAGTTTCCTAAGAGGGGAAAAACACCCAAATCAGATTTTTTTTTTCCTAAGTTGGTTTACAAAAACAGCATAAATTTTGGTATAGATTAAGTCATAGCTATTTGAAGTGAGACTGCCATGTGAACATACACTCTACTTTACAGGTAGCTAGCTAAGAACTAAGTAAGTTAAGCAAATCTTTCCTGGCTGTGCTGGTATTCACACTGATCTTCAAGGGAAGCAAGTAGGTAGAAACAAAGCATAAGCACCAAGTCACTTGATGAACTCTGAGGGGATGAGAAGGTTCTGAGTTCTGATGTTGGCAAAAATCACTGAACTGTTTATTGCCTATATAGATACATTAAAACTTGAAATAATTTGTTTCAAATATAGACAATGGAGAAGACAAGGACAACAGAGGTCAGTATGATTAGCACGTAAGTGTCCCTGGGCTCAACCTTTGCACCCAAATACATAAATAAATAAAAGATATGGACACAAAAAGAATAGTGGACATTTTTGGGCCAACTCAAGTTTTGTTTTTTGTTTTTTTTTTAAAGATTTATTTATTTATTATGTATACAGAAGAGGCTACCAGATCTCATTACAGATGGTTGTGAGCCACCATGTGGGTGCTGGGAATTGAACTCAGGACCTCTGGAAGAACAGTCGGTGCTCTTAACCTCTGAGCCATCTCTCCAGCCCCCAACTCAAGTTTTTAAACAAAAAAGTTAACTTGACAGATGAAAAGGCACTATTGTTGCTACCACAAATCACACTGAGATACTTTTACCTGTAAAACAGGTGGCTTACAACCAAGTGTGCCCTTGCAGCAAACACTCTTACCCACTGTATTCAAGTTCATACCTGAGCACTGTCTTTGCTTTGCAAGGTCTATCAAAGCCCAACACTTTCAGGAAGCAACCACTCTGAAACTGAGTTCCACCCCAGCCAAGCACTAAACCACATTCTTAGAGATAAAAGCTTAAATATTAAAACTACCCAAACATCCAGCAATAAAGCACTACATTAAAATGACAGTATAAAAACAGTCAAGGGCCAGCAAGATGGTTCAGTACATAAAGGTGCCTACTACCAACCTTGATGACCTGAGTTTGATCCCCAAGATCCACATTATGGAAAGAAAGAACCACAAGGGTCCTCTGACCTCTACACATACACCATGGTGTACTCCTATACAACACACACAGTCACTAAAAAGAAATTGTAAATGTAAAATAAAAATTAATTTTAAAAAGTTATAACCAGAAAAGTATTAGTAATATTTATATTTTATTGTTGGTGAAAAAAAATGAAGATATAGCTACATGTACTATTTTTATAAGTAAAATTCTAAAAATACATTCAGGAAAAAAAGACTAGAGAAATATGTAGCAAGGTTTAAAATGTTTTAACCAGCTTAAGTAAAGTTAAGCATAGTTACTGTTTTAATATTCTTGCTTAAAATTATTAATTATGTATTACATTATTTTATTAGTTAATAGGATAGTGGGTTTTTTTGTTTTCCAAAGAGCAAACCAGACAGTGAATCAGCATAAGTACTCCAACCCACTTGCAGGCTTTCTCGGAGCCCTGACGTACCGGAGGGACTGTTCTATCGATGATGGTCCGAAAGATCTCCATCCATGTGGTCATGGTCTGGTGGCTCACCAGCTGAAGGGGCAGTGCGTACTAGAAAACAGAGAGGCAGTGAGAAGTCACCCTCCTGCCCATGGAAATCAGCACTTCGCATCAGAGGGTTAAAATGTACAAAAGAGCTAATATTTGAGCAAGAAACAGCAATTCATGATTCAACCTAAAATTTAACTTTAAAAAAAAATCCGTAAGTAAATATATACTTTTGTAGGGTGGGATGCAACAAGGTCTCACATATCCTAGGCTAGCCTCAAAATTACCCAAGGATTACCTTGAACTCCTGATCCACCTGCCTACAGAAATTACACGTGTTTGCCACTATCCCCAGTTTTATATAGCACGGAGGATAGATCCCAGGGTTTCATACATTCTGGGTAGGAACTCTAACCCTGGGCTACTTCCCCAGCCTCTTTGTCAGGTTGATTGGTTGGTATGTTTTGACACAGGGTCTTTTGTAACCCAAGCAGGCTTCAAATATGCTATGGAGCCAAAGATAGCCTTGAAATCTTCATCTGCCCATCTCTATCTGAAAGCATAAGGATTAAAAACATGTACAACCTACCTCTGGCTTTTATATGTAAATCTTTTAAATTAAGAAATATACATGCCATTAGCTGTTTCTCTTGTCTACCTTTAAAAAGAAAGATTTCATATCAATAAGGTCCCATTTATTTCACATACATTTTGGGTTATTTTACAACTTGCCTTTTCGTGTATCAAACTTGCAATTATAAGCACTTAGATAAAAATCTTTACCTCATGAACACACACGAAGCTCTTTTTCAATTCCCATCCTCTTGTGTGTGGCTCAATACCTACAATGACTATTACTCAGGTTCTATCGCCCCTGCCACACCATGAGCTGCAGGGAGCTGCCTCCATGCCCACTGTTCTCCTGTCCCCAGCTACGAGATAATGACATAACCCTAAGGGACACCACTGCTGTCTCACAGCGTCACAGTGCAGCTGGAAAACCTAAGTTCAAGAGCCGGAAGGGCAAATAGTGAAGGAGGGGTGTGGTGAGATGCTGTTCGAATCTTAGTCTTTTAATAAAAAACCCAGAGCCAGATATCAGGGTGAAAGCTGAAAGATCAGAGAAGCAGAACAGCCAGCCACTAGTTCTTACCTCTGTAAAATCTTCAGACTAAAGAGAGTGGGTTCCTGTTTCCTCACACCTTATATACATTTCTCTGCCCTGCCATATTACTTCCTGGGATTAAAGGTGTGTGTGCTTCCCAAGCAAAGGCATGAGATCTCAAGTGCTGGGATTAAAGGTGTGTGCCACCACTGCCTAACCCCTATGTCTAATCTAGTGGCTAGCTCTGTCCTCTGATCCTCAGGCAAGTTTTTTATAAGGGTACACAATATATCCCCACAGAGGGGAGACTTAAGGTCATACCTACAAGCCAGACTTGGTGGCTCACACATGGAATCCTATCACTCAGAAGGCTGAGGCAGGAAGACTACTGTGAGTTTGAGACCCACCTAGACTACACAGTGGGACTCTGTCTCCATTTAAAAAAAAATTGAGAAAGGTCATACTTTCTTCTAAGTGCCTTATGTGAGTGAGGCATTTGGGCTTGAACTAGGGTCCGGGTCCAGAGGAGGAGTAGGCAGGGAGTTAGGCAGAAAGTGGTGACTCCTGGCATATGTTTGAAGAAACCAAGTACTTCTAGACACAGATAAATGCTCCTTAAGACAAAACCAATCTCACTGAATTAATTAGACATTTAAGAGCAGTTTGACTGGGCCTTCTGTACCCTAGCCAGGCATCATGATTGCAGTTTCACTTCTCAAATTTTTTTTTTAAATTTTGCCTCCAAAGGAGCACATTACTGTATTTATATACAAAAGATTACCAGAACAGTTAAAGATGCTAGAGCAATTCATCTTTTAATTTTGTTGTTGGGTTGCTGGGTTTTGGGTTTTTTTTTTTTTTTTTTTTTAATGTGTTTAAAGAATTTGCTTCCCTGTTAGTGAGCCAAATAGATAAAGAAACCACAGAAAACTCAGGCCAGGAGCCTTCATGTTACTGACCAGTGCCTGGGCTCTGTCTGCCCAGTAGGAAAGTGTTGTAGAATATTATTTTAAGGTGTGTTATTTTTGTTTATGTTGCATTTGTTTAACTCTGTGAAGCTGTGTTATTGTGCCTGTGTAAAACACCTGATGGTCTAATAGAGAACTGAACGGCCAATGGCAAGGTAGGAGAAAGGATAGGTGGGGCTGGCAGGCAGAGAGAATAACTATAACAAGAAATCTGGGAGGAAAAAGAAGAAAAGAAATGGAGGAGTGAAGAAGGAACTAGCCAGGGAAGAAGGAGGACATCAGGGGCCAGCCACCCAGCTACACAGCAAGCCATGGAATAAAAGTAAGGTTTGCAGAAGAGAATGGGAAAAACCCAGAGTCAAAGGTAGACGGAATAATTTAAATTAAGGAAAGCTGACAAGAAACTAAGCTAAGCTAAGGCGGGGCATTCATAAGTAAGAATAAGTCTCCATGTGATTTATTTGGGAGCTGGGTAGCAGGCTCCACAAAAAAAGAGCAAAAACAAACAACAACAAGAAAGGCTAGCCTAACCCCAAATACAGGGCTACTGTTGTTACGATGCCCCAGTGTAAAGTAGGCCTGCTGAGGAAGACCTCTCATACTAACTCTATAAGAAAAGACATGCAGCTTTCTTCCCAAATATTTCAGAGAATGTAGAGCAATGCATTTCCCTGATATTCTACTTTCTTCTCTCTTGTGAGATCTCCTTCCTTCCTTTTATCCCCCTCCCCAAAAAAATCTGCCTTCAACTGCCTTTATTAAACAATTATGAGGCCAGGTGTGGTGGCCACACTTTTAATCCCAGAACTCAGGAGGCAGAGACAGGTGGAGCTCTGAGTTGGAGGCCAGCCTTGTCTCATAGTGAGTTCCAGGACAGCCAGGGCTACACAGAGAGACCCTGTATCTCAGAAAACTAAAAAAAAAAAGTTTGTGAGAGAAGACTTTATTATAACCCTAAAATAGTCCAAAGACACCCAAGTCAAAATGAAACAAGAGCACATCACAACTCCCCTGCCTCCCTAGCTCAGCTAAAACATCCTCCTCGCACAAAGAATTATCAAGAAAGCACAGAAAAGAGCTTTAATCCATCATCACATTTAGACTGACCCCGATTCTTCTTCCCAGGCTGAAATCATCTACTCAAGTCTTTCAAGGATTCAGGGTTAAATATTCTCAAATTTTAAAGACATTCCATCTCTATCTTCTAATTATTTTTTTAATTGCTATATTAGTATCCCTTATAGTTTCCACATAAGAAAAGGGGATTGGCTTCAATCAAAGAAAATACATAGAGGGCAAAAAGGCCTTGTGAACACGGATAAGCACTGGAAAATTCAGGGAAAGTTACGCATACAGCTGATCTCTCCAAAGGGAGAAAATATTTAGCTGTTTCTCCTGGAATGCTAGAGGCAAATGCAGTTTACAACCTGGTGATCCTTTGCTCCCTGTTGGGCCAGGCTCCACCCATATCCCCCAGAATATGGTGTTTGTTGATCCCAGACTTTTCCCCTTAAAACCCTGAGCTTTACTTCTAGGCTATGAAACTCATCCTTATGAGAGATGTCATTTGTACTTTACAACAGCCTAAGTGACATCTATGCCATCTTAGGGCCAGGCCAATCCTGACTCCCACAGGCATTATGTTTACCTCACAGACTCTTATCCTGAGCACTGTTTCTAAGACAACAAGAAACCATCTTAAGGATGAAGCCATATGTACTTTGCTAAGAACATCAATGTAAACATGTCTTAAGCTTTGTTGTACTCAAAGGGCTGAGCTAATTGTTGCCTGAATACTTTTTCCAAAGTTGTGCTGTGCTTAAATATGGCTGAAGTAAATGAAATGGGTCAGACTCCAAGAAGTCTTGGCCCAGCACTGGTTACCAAAATCCGGCTGAGCCAAGCTTCATTCTTACTTTACCACGTTCGCTTTCCCCTGCCGGCAGTAAAGCCTGCAGGGACCCTCCCACAAAAATGAGCCACTAAATCTACGTTAGCTTAAAGTTGGCTGAAGTAGAGAAAAGACCATCAGTGTGATTTCCCATGAAGAACTCTTGGTTTCTTTCCTCTTCCTATAATCACAACTGACCTGCACACAGGGACCTTGAATTTAAGCTCAAGCAACACCGGGTTCTTTATGACTTGGGACTTGAGACTGAGAAAGCAGCACAAACACCAAACTGAACCTTGGATGCCCAGTGATCATGGCTAACTAAATTAATTTCTGTGAGCCTAATTCTCCTAAGGTAAAAATATATGATTGTAGGGGCTGGAGAGATGGCTTAGTGGTTAAAAGCACTGGTTGCTTTTTCAGAGGACCCAGGTTCAATTCCCAGCACCCACATAGCAGCTCACAACTGTCTGTGACTCCAGTTCCAGGGGATCTGGCACCCTCAGAAAGACATATGCAGGCAAAACACTAACGTACATGAAATAAAAACAAATAAATCTTAAAAATACATGATTCTAAATAATGACACTTCTACAGAGTAGACACAAATATGAAGCTCTTTGTCTTCTGAAGTAGAACTGACCTGAACGAGTGCGTAGAAGATTTTCAGAATCTGTTTCTGCAGCAACACAGAATAATAGGAGGCATCAGGAAGTAGCTGCAGTATTTGCTGCTGAATTCGAGGCAAAAATATCTGCATGGCTGCCAGAAGAGGCTCTCTTTCCTCTGCTTTCTTATATCTAAGCAAAGACAGAGAATAAAGAAAGTGATGACTTCTCTCCTTCCCAATGAGCTATAAACAATGATTAACCACATGATACCAGAAACACCCAAAATGCAGGCTTAAATTTTCTATGTAGTTGCTATAATAAAGTTGGAAGGAACTTTGAGAGAATAAAGCCTGGTTCAGACAGACACAAAATCTTTCTTAAAAGGTTTAAACTAGTTTAAGAGTCCAAAACTGAACACTAGCAATCCCAGTTCTTAGGAGGTTAAGTCAGAAGGATCATGATTTCAAGGCCAGCCTGAACTTATAAAGCAAAACCTATCTCAAAATGCCAAGGGCTGGAAATGTAACTCATGTAAAAGGCCTTGGATTGGTTTGCTGTGTTATCAATGAAAAAAGAAGGAAGGAAGAGGGGTGGGGAGGAAGGGAGGGAGAGGAGGAAAAAAGAAAGAAAGAGAAAGAAGGGGAGAGAGAGAGAGGAAGAAAGAAGAAACGAAAGAAAAGTCCAAGACTATCTAGTAGTTTTATTTGGGAAGTTTTCTAGTATTTAAGTTAATTCACATCAAACCATAATTCATTCTATAAAATGAAAGCTGATCTGCTAGCTTAAACATCATATTGTATAGCAAATAACATAGAGAAAATTTTTCTCATATCATCCTACATTGAGAGTGAACGTACTTTATAAGCCTGAGTGCTCTCTGATCACTTCTATTGCTGCCAATCTAAAAGATTTTCTAAATAGAAATCCTATAAAACTGTCTGAACTATCATCTTAAAGAAGGAAAACTACCTGGGCTATAATCTCAGCACTCAGGAAGCTGAGGGACGAGGATGGCTCTAAGTTCAAGGCCAGCTTGAGCTACCAAGTAACACCCTGTCTCAAAACAAAGGAAAACTACAGGACTGCACATACAAAAGTAGTACTCATCTTAAAACCCAAAAAATATGATTAACTGCCAGCCAAGTCTTGTACCTCAACAGTAATTTTCATGCAAACATCCCAATGAACTTTTACATTTTCTACTTTTCTTCCTAGAAAAGTACCTGATTTTTGTATCCGAGGTATATCTGCAGCAGCAGCTGAAAGAAGTATGTTGTTATACCACATAGTATGTCACTCACCACCTCAAAAATCGGCAGTGTACACCGGAAAACCTGAGTGCCACTGAGCAATTGCAGCTCAGTGTAAGAACACATTAACCATGTTTGATTCAGCATTTCCCACAGTGACCTGATTTTGCCAAACCCCACAAAAGACCGCTCTATGAACCTGATTCCATAGGACTCTCTTTGGCCAGGAGAAGTGAACTTACTCATAGGTCTTCACCAGCTGATACAAGCATAGCAAACTGCCAAGCCAGCTCCCACTGTTTGGTGACTGCAAGTAGTAGTCTATCTTGTCGACCACTGCAGGCCAGTGACCAGGAAAATCATGTTTAATGATGACTCGGAGACACATTGTTAACTGGACTCTGTAAGGTGGGAAAGAAATACCCAAATGCAAGCAGTGAAGAGTATCATCCACGAAAGAACTACAATATTGTTATAAGGTTCTCTAACTCTCTTTACCTTTGTTATACACCTCCAGTCAGGCATGGCTGAGCATAGGTAACATTGAGAAATGTGTCATTAGTAAGTTCTAATTTGTGTAAACACCAGAGTGTACCTTTATAACCTAAGATGTTCATCTAGTTGCATCTAAGGGGATGTAATCACATGGGACACCACTGTATATACTGTTAACCTCTGCAGCAAAAGACCATATACATGTGGGGCATGAGGAAAAGTGATCCTATTAAAAACCTTCTCAGTGGCTCAATCTACTGAAAATAAACAGAATGGGGGAACTCCTCAATATATGAAACTTTCATCTTATCCTAAAGATATTTTTTTAATGTACTTAAAAATATATTCAAGGGCTGTCAAGATGGCTTGGCAATTAAGAGCACTAGCTGCTCTTCAAGAAGTCCTGAGTTCAATTCCCAGCAACGACATGGTGGCTCACAACCATCCATAATAGGATCTGATGCCCTCTTCTGGCATGCAGAGCACTCATTACATAAAATATAAATTAGATAGATAGATAGATAGATTCAAAGATTGTCAAAAAACTTCAAAGTATACAGCAAATCTACCTCAAATCTGTAAAAATTATTACTTATTTTATATTTGGGTCTTCATATCCAGAAAGAGCAGCAAGCATGTATAGGGTCCTGGGTTTGATTTATAGTGCGTACACACACACACACACACACACACACACACACATACGCACAAAGAAAGACAGATACAGAGACAGAGACACACAGAGAGAAGGACTAATAAGATAGATATAGATTATATATACACATTCATAGTAGATACATACATACAAACACACATAAATATATACAGAGAGATATGCAAACACATAGATGATAGACAGACAGACAGGCACACAAATATAGATATGTAGGCACATACACATATATCTACCAAATGAGCAAGCCTAGAGCTGGTGTGTGCCTCATTAGTAGAGCATCTCTCTAAGTATAAGGTGTATGTATACATACACACATCTATCAAATGGATAAACATAGTTCTCATTTAAGAGATAGTACGGTATACTATACCAGTGAAAACACGGACTAATTTTGTACTTTGAATAAAACAAATATGGGTTTGTGCTGTGGGATGGTCTGTATGTTAAATTGCTCTGATTGGTCAATAAATAAAACACAGATTGGCCAGTGGCCAGGCAGGAAGTATAGGCGGGACTAACAGAGCGGAGAATTGGAACAGGAAGGCAGAGAGAGACACTGCCAGCCATCGCCATGACAAGCAGCATGTGAAGACGCCCGTAAGCCACGAGCCCTGTGGCAAGGTATAGATTTATAGAAATGAGTTAATTTAAGATATAAGAACAGTTAGTAAGAAGCCTGCCATGGCCATACAGTTTGTAAGCAATATAAGTCTCTGTGTTTACTTGGTTGGGTCTGAGCAGCTGTAGGACTGGCTGGTGACAGAGATTTGTCCTGACTGTGGGCAAGGCAGGAAAACTCTAGCTACAGATTTGCTAGGGCATTTCTGAAAAGGGAAAAGCTAGGAACTGTTGCCAAAGAAATAACTGGGGGAAAAAAAAAAAAAAAAAAAACAACCAAAAAAATAAAACAGAAAGAGAGGAGTACCTTCCCCACTTTAGCAAAAAGATGCAAGATGCTATCCCACAGCATTAGTGAAGGCATCACTTCTTCAGTGGGATCTCATCTGTAATCAAGATTGGAAAGATAATAAAGGGAAAACAAAAAATATCTCTTCTACAAATTACCACTGTTATTACCAAGTATGTCCACATGAGGTTATTTGATTAGAAAATTAACCTGACAAAATTAGAATTCCAAATTGCAGTTTTTGGTGGGGTATTTACTTGTGAGGTTTTGGGCAGTCCAGACTGGTCTCCAATGTAGTATGTAGCTGAAGATGACCTTAAACTTCTAGTCTTCCTACTTCTACATTCCAAGAACTGGGATCCACACATGGACCACTACCCCATACTACACTACACCATTGTATGCAACACTGGAAATGAACCCAAGGTCTCATGCTAGGAAAGCACTGTACCAACTGAGCTACATCCTCAGTCCTAGGATTCCAAATTGTAAAAAAAAAAATAAGTAAATAATAAACTAGTGTTCAATTGAATACCCAATAACTTAGATCCATAAAACAGGAAAAACTTAAACAGCATATTGTATCTTCCTTATGGAACCAAATCACTTCTCTCTGCAATACTTTTTAACAAAATCAGACAATAAGAAGTGTCTTCAGGAGTCTATAGGACATGGGAAGAGCAAAGCCAGACTCTGTCTCAGAATAAACAGGGATCCCCTGTCTACTACCACAGCTTTTCCTATACAACACTGAAATAAAGTATTGCTAAAACTTGTCCTTTTTTAATATTTCATCTTGAAATTGGCCTCATGGCCCATTTCTCGCTCCAAGCCAAGCACAACACTTGGCAGGAGAAGCTACTCCCATGTTACTGTAGAAACACTGGGAGATTCAGGAGATCAGGAAACAAGCATCTTCACAGACAAACATACAATGGTTTTGAGAGATTCCTGGAACCTCTCAATTGGCATGTGGGCAACCAGTGAGAATAAGGGTGCCTTTCTTCAGTGCATACACCTGTGTTCTCCTAGCTAAGAAAAATAACTACACAATTTAGCACTTGTTCTTCCTGTTACCACCTCCCTCAAATTTCCTTTCTTTTCCTGTTTTCATCATAATTGCACTTAATATATGATATTAAACAATCTCACCCCACCGTTTCCTCTGTTGCCCCTCCCCTCCATTTGCAAATAAAACTTCATTACTAGATAATATGTTGAAGTACATTTGTTTCTATTTTAAGACTGCAAAATGTTTGACTCCACAGCTATGCTGTCAATACTTGGAACCAAAAACTTATTTCCTGGGCTCAGTTCATGAAAACTTCTCCAGATCGCATGAGGTCCTGGGTTTAAGCTCCGACTCCACATTTATCCATCACAGTGGTATACACCTGTAATCCCAGCACTTGAGAATGGAGACAGGAGTACTAGAAGTTCTACATCATCACTGGTCACATAGTACACTCAAGACCAGCCTGGGATACAAGAGACCTATCTCAAAAAAAAAAGAAAAGAAAAGAAAAGAAAAGAAAATATACACACATAAACAAAGCTGAAGATTACACCCAACAGTCAGGCCTAGCCAAGGCCAACTACCTCCTCAAATCACACAGACAGGGCACAGCCTACCTCACCAGATCCGGAGACCGAATTATCCCCTCCACAATGTTGTCACGTATTTGCTGTCGGTCATTCTCGTGGATATTGAATGGAAATATTGCTTCTCCTGGTGGAGGCTCCCTGTCTGGCCAGTACTGTGTCACCATGTTCTTCAGGTAGATGGCAGCTGAGTTTAAAAGAAAAACAGATGTGTTGGAATCAGGAAGACCACTTCAACTCAATCTCACGGAGCTCAAAGGCTAAACAGCCTTCCATGTGAATGCAATGCCCAACAGAGATGGAAAACCTTACAGGTAAAAAAAGTCAACTTGGGAAGAGGGAATGGGAAGAATTCAAAGAGTTTCATATGAGAGTCAAAGCAGGAACACTGCACCACACTGGAGGACAACCTTAAATGACACAAAATGACCTGGAAAGCATATACATGTTCTCAAACTGAGCACAACCACAGTGACATTGGAAAACTGTGGTGGAATAATCTTATTGTACACTGTGAATATGTGTCACTCAGATTGGTTTAATAAAAGCTGAATGGCCAACAGCTAGGCAGGATTTCCAGGCATAGAGGATGCTGGGAAGAAGGGAAAAGCTGTGAGGAGACGCCAGGGACACAGAGCAAGCAGCACAGGCTTTACAAAGGTAATCAAACCATGTAAAAGAACACAGATTAAAAGATATGAATTACTTAAGTTATAAAAACTAGTTAGAAACAAGCCTGAGCTATTGGCCAAGCTTTCATAATAAATAAGAAGTTGTCATGTCATTTACTTGGGAGCTGGCTGGCAGAACAGAAAAGTCCACCTATAGGAAATTTCCCTTTTCTCAAACCTAACAGTAAGCTGCTGTCTGATGCTGATCCTGTCCCCTGCCATCCTGCACTGTCATTCAGAAGTATCTGTGCTCTTACAGCATTGGTGATTTTCATTTAATCCTCTGAGATACTTATTATTTGTAATTCATAAAGAAATAGACATCTACTTTCAAATATGCTTGGAAAATCTCAAGAAATCTGTATCTATGTCTATCAAAATACATAAATCAATTACTTTGTTTCTATTCTTTTTTCTACTTCTATTAAACAAAAACAACATTTGGAAGAATTATTTGAATTATTGCTGTAAGACTTGTTTGTTTGGGTTTTTTTAACAGGATGTTTGTGGTATGTGCATGTATGTGTGTTGGCACATATGAGGGAGGGGGATTGTGCATGCATGGGTAGAGGCCTAAAGTTTCTTCCTTGATCACTCTCCAACTTATTTATTAAGTCAGGGATTCTAAATGGATCTGGAGGTCACCAACTTTGGGCTAATCCAGCTAATCATCTTGCCCTAGGATGCCACCTCTGCCTTTCAAGTGACAGGATTACAGAAGGCCACCACATGTAGCTGGCTTTTTTTTGGGGGGGGGAGGTTGTTTTTGTTTTTTTT